TTTTTTTTTAACAATTAATATACCATATATTTTTTATATAGGCACATCAAGGTAAAAAAAGCATGCGTGATGAAACATTCGAAGACTATGAAGATTTACAACTGATATTTGACGTTGGATTAGCGACGGGAAGAAATGCTGTTGGCTTAGGTGATGATACTGATGCACCAACTTTTGGAGTTGAAGATAATGCAGCACCATGCGAATTATATACAAGTCTCTTTGAAAATATGGGAAATTTAGATGGATCTCAAGCATCAGGGTCGGGAGATTCTAGTATGTCACAAGGCAAAGGGGGCCAGAGAGAAAAGCTACTTCCAAAAAAAAGAGCTAAAGGTGGAGATTGTGGGGACTCTAGTAATTCAAACATGGATAGTAGCCTAATGGAAAAGACATTCACTGAAATGATTGAAGTGAGCAATCATGTTGTTAGCTTGATACAACAAAGAGAGGAAAGACAACAAAGAGAAGCCAACTCCAGAGAAGCTGAAAAGAAAAGGAACAATTTATGGGAAGCTATTAAAGAAGTTTCTGGTTTGGAGGAAAATGTTCGTTATGATACATTGAATGAAATTCTAAAGTTGGGGATGAAAGAAGTGTTCATCAGCATGTCTCTCGAAGAACGACTGGGTTGGATACGACGCAACGTGAATTGAAGTCTTTTTTTTTATGAAAATAAAGTTTTATTTTGTCATATTTCTTATTTTCTAAAATTTGTTTCCTTGTTTAAAAATCAACATTTTATTTCTTTTATTTATCTACATTTTGTGTCGACTTTATATACAACGCCGCCGGCTCCTTAGTTCTGCAACAATGTTCTTTAGTAAGCTAAGAAATTTACCAACAATGCAAAAGCCTTTGCACGATTTCTTTTTCTTATCAAACTTGGTATTCTCATAAAGTATGGACCTAAGACTCTTCTGTACATCAAATTCGTAGCCTCTAGAGAGAAACAAAATGAAAACAATCGAAGAGAGGGTGTCTGAGAAACAGATTGCAACAGTTGACAAGTTCATCTGTTCATGACTCTGTCTTTGCCTCCAAAACCTCATTTAAAACCTCTACGAAAAGGTATATATCTACTCACACACCAATGCTCAACTCTGAAGATTTATTTCTTGCTCTATCAAATGTGTTTTAGTCCTGATACACTGTTACGTAGGGAAGGGCAACAAAATAAAGGTGATAGCTTTCTTGTGGGAGGGGTTATCGCTTTTGTGATGGGAATTGTTGCAATGTTTCGTCTATCAAAAGACGTTTCACATTTGATTGTTACCTTCTTTTTGGTTCAACTATATATTAAGTAAACAAAGGTTCTTTAGTTAATACATATAGGCCATAGCTGACCGTATTGAGCCATAGCTAAGAAATTGAATATTTTAAAGCAAAGTTTGTTTCAAGCACGCATCAAACCAGGAAAGAATAACCACAGGAAAAAAAAAATATTTTACATTAAAATTAATTTTCATTTTTTTTGATTCTATGATTAAAATAATTTTTTGAAATGGTCAACTTCTATCTTACTTGAGTTTGATTCAAATCTTTATTATAGATTTTCTCCAACAATTCAATATACATTTATTATTTTCTATTTACTGTTTTGATAACAAAATATATTTTCAGAATTACGATCAAAAAAGAAAACAAGATCATCTTTTATTAGAAGTTTCATCTTTCTCCTCTTCTGAAATTGGCTTCTCATCAAACAGCCAAGGAACTACGTACGTTTCCGACAAACTATCATAGGCAACAAAAGTGTTGTTGGTTTTGGAGAAGGGACTGTGACTTCCTCCTTAGACGTCAACGAGGATTTCTCTTTTGCTGCTGGTAAGGTTTGTTTAGGAATTTTGAGAGTCATCTGTTTATTTGATGAGTTGGTAAAGCTGCTTTGCTGCATTAAACGCAGAAGATGGCTCATCATAAACCACTCTCCATCTTTATTAAACAAACGTAGTCCACAGTTATATTGTTCCATCATCTTTATATATATTAAAACCGGAGTCTATGGTTAAACAAACGTGAAACCTATAACGTTTCTAATATATATATTTTTTCCTTGTATTTTTGTATTGTGTAGGTTATATTGTTCCATCACCTTCTATCTCACTAATCAAATCACATGTAAGTCCTTTTTCATTTTTTTTTGAAACTTTTAATTACTTAAATAATTAATGTTATCATACATGACTAAAATAAACTATTTATGTCCTATACAAAGGTTGTCGGACGAAGAAGAAATCGAAACTGCGAGAGAACAACTCGAGGATGAAGATTTGGATACAAAAATAATGCATTTGTTGGTGATGATGATTGGATTAGCACGAGTATTGATTGCAAATCAATATGTAAAACAGAAAGTTTACATCGAGTATCCAATCCGACAGCCTATCACAAGAATTGGATACGATTATATATACAATGTGTTACGACAAGATTCAGGGCATTTTCGACAGTTATATCGTATGTATCCAGATGTGTTTCTCAAGCTATGTCAACTTTTACGAGATACGACGCACCTAAGAGATACAAGATTCACCTGTGTTGAAGAAATGGTTGCCACCTTTCTAATCACTGTTGGCCAAAATTCAAGGTACGGTCACACTAAAGACACTTTCGGAAGATCAAAATTTGCTACAAGTACAAATTTTCATAAGGTTTTAAAGGCAATAAATACAATTGCTCCAAGTTTGATGGCCAAACCTAACCTTATGGTAGCTTCAAAAATAAGAGAGAGTACAAGATTTTATCCTTATTTCAAGGTATATATAAATATATATATATATATATATGTATAGATTTTTTTATTATTGTGTTTTGGAAAATAAATATGTAAGTCTTGGTTTTTCTTTTAGAATTGTTTGGGAGCAATTGATGGAACGCACATACCTGCTATGGTACATAACAGTGAAGCTCCAAGCTACCGTAATCGAAAAGGAGTAATATCTCAAAATGTATTGGCTGTTTGCAATTTTGATATGGAATTCATATATGTTCTGAGTGGTTGGGAGGGATCCGCACACGATTCAAAAGTATTATATGATGCTTTAACAAGAAGGACTAACAGATTTGTGGTTCCACAAGGTACTTTTGTATATTATATAATAAGCTAATAATTTTATATATTATATGATAACGTAATAAAATATGTTAAATTTTCTCTCAGGCAAATTTTATTTAGCTGACTGTGGATTTGCGAATAGACGCAAATTTTTGGCTCCTTTTCGAGCTACTAAGTATCACCTCCAAGATTTTACTGGACAAGGTTGCGATCCGGAAACTCCACATGAATTGTTCAATCATCGTCATGCATCTTTAAGAAACGTGATTGAGAGAATTTTTGGAATTTTCAAGTCACGGTTTCTGATATTTAAAACCGCTCCTCCGTTTCCTTATAAAACACAGACAGAAATTGTGTTGGCTTGTGTAGCCTTGCACAATTTTCTGCGCAAGCATTGTCGGTCAGATGAATTTCTTACTCAAGAAGTTGGTGATGAAGCAAACATGGAAAACAACACTCCTTTAGAGGATTTTCAAAATAATGAAGAAGTTTTTGAGACACAAGATCAAGAAAGAGAAAGTGCTAATATATGGAGAGAAGCAATGGCTCAGCAAATGTGGAGTGATGCAACTAGCTAGCAAAGCACGCTGATAAGCAGCTCCATTACCAGCGCCGCTGTTAGTTTCACTAGGTGAGTGAATTATATTATACTTTTTGTGCTTATGATGTTTTCATTTCTCAAAGCTTGATATACATGGTTCCCTTTCCCATCTTTTATATGCATAGTCTTGAAGACAATCTAAACTGTTGTGTTGATTTGCTTTGAAATGAGTATATATACAGAAGTAATGCTCAGTCTTAAACTGGTGTAGGGTTTAGAAAACAGAAGGGCTGGTGCAACAAGTGTAAACGCAGAGAATTCACGGTCGCATTGTGTATTTTACTTGTGTTTTCGAGTCCCACTGCAAGTGTAGCAGTTTATTTAAGTTGTTGTTTTCTATTAAAAAAAAACATGAGTTCGTATCATTGTCCTACGAGTGACGTGTCACTTTGGTTATTTGTCTATGTATCTGATTTATGCAATGGTTTTTGATTATGTGTTGCTGAGGGATCGATTTTGCAGTAGAAACGTAACGTATATCTTCAGTGACATTAGTAATTTGATTTATTTAATTTGGTTGGTTTTGGTCGACAACATAGTTTGTAAGTTATTAATTTTCTTTTAATTTGATTTTTAAAATTATAAAGTCCATTCGTAATGAATTTCAAGTCCATTAGTAATGATTTTAAAGTCCATTAGTAATGACTTTAAAGTCCACTAACAATGACATCAAATCCATCTTAATTGTATTTAAAAGCTATTGAACTTTAAAATCCACGGGTAATTAAAATCCTTTAAAATTCTTCATCCAATAACACCCCCTAAAACAAAATTAATCGTATTTAAATGAGTTTTTTTTAATAGAAATGGAATTTTATCCCAATTATTCCAAATATAATATGCGAGCCGTACGGGAAAGGGGAAAGTCAAAACACGTAATAACGGTTTTGATTGAAGGGTAATATCGTCTTTTCGAATGGAAAATTAAAATAGTTATGGTAACGTTCCGTTTTCTTTATTGCACGGCCAATCAGAATAGGACCACAAACACCACTACTATTACCAAACCTTCGCTTTTCTGTAAAGCATAAACCACAGAGAGAGGAAGAAGAAGAAGAAGAAACTCATTAAAGCACCCAAAAAAAAAGAATTTATATTCAAAGAAAGAAAGAAAAACGAGTTTCAAACACCAAAACCGCGACTTGTCCAAATCAAAGATTTGTCCTTTTCCCTTTTTAGTGGTAGAAGTCGAATCAAATTTTGGGAATATTTTTTTTTTTCAAAAAAATTCGAAGGTCTTGTGCTTTGTCTCCAAGCAAACTTTTAGTCAAATCAATTTATTTATTTCGTGATCAAGTTTCATTCTTATTTCAAAGTTCAATGACGATAGCACTTACTGTGTCTTCTTGGAGTTTAGGTAACGAGTTTTTATGGTTGTTTATATACTCTGTTTTTCTCTCTCTCTCTCCATCACTTTTTAAACCCAGTTCTTGTTTTTGGTTTCTGGGTTTTGTATTTAAGCAACAAGACAATCAGATCTTGTTGATTTATTTTGATATCTTCCTTTTTTTTCTTTCTATTTTATATAATGGACATATCAAACCGTCAATAAAAACTGCAACTTTATTTGTTGTTTGACTGAAATTTCATTGTTTCATTGAAATTTTTCTACAGGAATTTGATAAACGGTTCTCACTTGTGAAAGAAGAAAAAAAAAGATACCGTTTTTGAGTAATTTCAAAGCTTGAATCGATGGAGGAGGAGAAGTCCTTCTCGGCGTGGTCATGGTCTGTTGAGCAATGTCTGAAAGAGTACAATACAAGGCTAGACAAGGGTTTAACCAGTGAAGATGTCCAAATCCGTCGTCAGAGTTGCGGTTACAACGAGCTCGCCAAGGAGAAAGGCAAGCCTTTATGGCATCTTGTTTTGGAACAATTCGACGATACGCTTGTGAAAATTCTTCTCGGTGCAGCGTTTATCTCTTTCGTTTTAGCCTTTTTAGGCGAAAGCGAGGACCATGGCTCAGGTTCAGGGTTCGAGGCCTTCGTTGAGCCTTTCGTGATTGTTTTGATTCTGATTTTAAACGCTGTGGTTGGTGTGTGGCAAGAGAGTAATGCTGAGAAAGCACTTGAGGCTCTTAAAGAGATGCAATGTGAATCTGCAAAGGTTTTGAGAGATGGGACTGTGTTGCCGAATCTGCCTGCTAGAGAGCTTGTCCCAGGGGATATAGTGGAGTTAAATGTTGGAGATAAAGTCCCTGCTGATATGAGAGTTTCTAGTTTGAAAACGTCTACTTTAAGAGTCGAGCAAAGCTCCTTAACAGGAGAGGCAATGCCGGTTTTAAAAGGAGCTAATCTTGTTGTCACGGAGGATTCTGAATTGCAAGGGAAAGAAAATATGGTTTTCGCGGGAACAGCGGTGGCTAATGGAAGCTGTGTTTGCATTGTGACGAGTATCGGTATGGATACAGAAATCGGGAAAATACAGAAGCAGATTCACGAGGCTTCGCTTGAAGAGAGCGAAACTCCGTTAAAGAAGAAGCTAGACGAGTTTGGGAGTAGACTGACTACAGCTATCTGCATTGTCTGTGTTCTTGTGTGGATGATTAACTACAAGAACTTTGTATCTTGGGATGTTGTGGATGGCTATAAGCCTGTGAATTTCAGGTTTTCTTTCGAGAAATGCACTTACTACTTCAAAATCGCGGTTGCTCTGGCCGTGGCAGCTATCCCCGAGGGTTTACCAGCTGTGATCACGACATGTCTAGCTTTAGGGACGAGGAAAATGGCGCAGAAGAACGCGATAGTGAGGAAGCTTCCAAGTGTAGAGACACTTGGTTGCACAACTGTGATCTGTTCAGACAAGACCGGGACTTTAACAACAAACCAAATGTCTGCAACCGAGTTCTTCACATTAGGCGGTAAAACAACGACTACCCGGGTCTTCTCAGTCAATGGTACGACTTATGATCCTACAGATGGTGGAATTGTGGATTGGGGATGCAACAATATGGATGCTAACTTGCAAGCTGTTGCTGAGATATGTTCAATTTGTAATGATGCTGGAGTGTTCTATGAAGGGAAATTGTTTAGAGCTTCAGGTTTGCCTACAGAAGCAGCCTTGAGAGTTCTTGTTGAGAAAATGGGCATTCCAGAGAAGAAGAACGGTGAGAACATCGAGGAAGTTGCTAACTTTTCAGACAATGGTAGCTACGTGAAGCTAGGTAAGTTTTATAATGTTTTCACACCATTACATTGTATGATTGGTAAGCTACAGAATTAGTGGAATAATATTGGGACATTCTTGCTTCATCAGTTTGTTGCGATTGGTGGAACAAAAGATCGAAAAAGATAGCAACGTTGGAGTTTGATCGCGTCCGTAAGTCCATGAGTGTTATTGTGCGCGAATCAAATGGAAAAAACCGGCTTCTTGTTAAGGTAAATATCATACTTGTCTTCTCTTCTTTTTAGCTTTAAACGTTTTGTGAATCTTCCTTTTCTTCTTGCAGGGTGCAGCTGAGAGTATACTTGAGAGAAGTTCTTTTGCGCAGCTCGCTGATGGATCTATCGTCGCTTTAGATGAATCTAGCAGAGATGTAATCCTCAAGAAACATTCTGAAATGACTTCGAAGGGATTGAGATGTTTAGGATTGGCTTACAAAGAAGAATTAGGAGAGTTTTCAGATTACTCTTCTGAAGAACATCCTTCACACAAGAAGCTCTTAGACCCTTCTAGTTATTCGTACATCGAAACAAATCTAATCTTCGTTGGAGTTGTTGGTCTTAGAGATCCTCCGCGCGAAGAAGTTGGTAGAGCAATTGAAGATTGTAGAGACGCTGGGATTAGAGTAATGGTAATAACTGGAGATAACAAATCAACAGCTGAAGCTATTTGTTGTGAGATTAGATTGTTTTCGGAGAATGAAGATCTTTCGCAGAGTAGCTTCACTGGTAAAGAGTTTATGTCTCTTCCGGCTTCAAGGAGATCCGAAATCTTGTCAAAATCTGGAGGGAAAGTGTTTTCTCGAGCTGAGCCAAGGCATAAGCAAGAGATAGTTAGGATGCTTAAGGAAATGGGAGAAATCGTTGCGATGACAGGTGATGGCGTGAATGATGCTCCTGCTTTGAAACTCGCTGACATTGGAATCGCCATGGGAATCACTGGAACAGAGGTAAAATAATAACTAACTTAACTGTAGAACAATCTTGAAAACTTTAATAAACAGAAAGATGGATTTGTTAACTGAGCAAAACTGAGACCTTAAGTTTTAAAGTAAGTTTTAAAGCTTTATGCAGATTCTAATACTTACTGTACATTGTCAGGTTGCAAAAGAAGCTTCGGATATGGTTCTCGCAGATGATAATTTCAGCACTATCGTCTCAGCGGTAGCAGAGGGTCGGTCCATTTACAACAACATGAAAGCTTTTATCAGGTAACCGAAACAAAAGCCTTCCATTGGATCATGTTTTTCCTCTGTAAATGTACTGATCTTGTGGAAATAAATGATTTCATTTCAAGGTATATGATATCATCAAACGTTGGAGAAGTGATCTCCATCTTCTTAACCGCGGCATTGGGGATACCGGAATGTATGATACCAGTTCAGCTTCTTTGGGTTAATCTGGTAACTGATGGTCCACCAGCTACAGCGTTAGGCTTCAATCCAGCTGATATTGATATTATGAAGAAACCACCGCGCAAAAGCGATGATTCCCTCATTGATTCGTGGGTTCTAATCCGATATCTAGTGATTGGTTCTTATGTTGGAGTTGCAACTGTTGGAATCTTTGTCTTGTGGTACACACAAGTTTCTTTCCTCGGGATTAGCCTGATCGCAGACGGGCACACATTGGTCAGCTTCAATCAGCTTCAGAATTGGTCAGAATGTTCTTCGTGGGGAACCAATTTCACCGCGACTCCTTACACTATCGCAGGTGGTCTTAGGACAATCGCATTTGAGAAAAATCCTTGTGATTACTTCACTTTAGGGAAAGTCAAGCCAATGACTCTATCACTTTCTGTTCTTGTGGCAATTGAGATGTTCAACTCATTGAACGCTTTGTCTGAAGACAACAGTCTCTTAAAGATGCCACCATGGAGAAACCCTTGGCTACTTGTGGCAATGACTGTCTCCTTTGGGCTTCACTGCGTCATCCTCTATGTTCCTTTCTTAGCTAATGTGTTTGGTATCGTGCCTTTGAGTTTCAGGGAATGGTTTGTGGTTATTCTTGTTTCCTTCCCTGTGATTCTAATCGATGAAGGTCTTAAGTTCATTGGGAGATGCAGAAGGACAAGAATCAAGAAGAAGATCAAGACAATGTAAAGTCTGGTCAACACAACGGACAAAAGACTGTAACTTTTTTTTCTTACAATCTTTTGTTTCAGTAAGAAACCTCATCCAAAAACACAGCAGTAGTAATTTGTTGTTTTTTAATTCTTTGTGGAAGCAGAATCAAACTTTGGATTTGATATAATCTCTTTTGCATGCAAACTTTGGAACCAAAGATCAATCAGAAGAAGAAAGAAAGAAAGGAAAACATGATAATACAAATTGATTAGATTAGGGTGTTTCCTCTAGTGATGCAGGTTGCTCGATTTGCAGTGAGCTTAAGAGCACACAATTGGGTAACAGAGCACGGCGATGTACTGTACGTTGCAATTATTAAACCGAATAAGTTGTTGAAACCGGATAGACATAGCGATTCTGTTTTGTTACAGTTAGGTAGCTCCTAAACTTATCGCTGTAATTGAAACCTTATCTCGGATTCTTCCAACCATTATCTCTGTACCTTCCTATCTTTGGTTAGGTGATGATAACTTGGGCTTTAGAATTAATATCCCCCAAGGCCTATTAATGTTTAGCAACTGTGTTTGGGATTGTGTCTTTTGAGTTTCAGGGAATGGTTTGTGTTTATTATTTGTCTCCTTCCCTGTGATTCTAATGGATGAAGCTCTTAAGTTCATTGGGAGATGCAGAAGGACAAGAATCAAGAAGAAGATCAAGATAATGTAAAGTCTGATCAACACAAAAGACTCTTTTACTTTTTTTCTTACAATCTTTTTGTTTCATCTACAAACCTCAACGAAAGACACAGTAGTAGTAACTAATCTGTTACATATTCTCTCAAACTCAGTTAAGACCTCAACCAAAGACAGTAGTGTATCCTTTCTTTGTTAAGAAGAAGCAAACTTTTGGATTTGATGTAAATCTCTTTGTATGTATCATCAAGCAACCCAGACAAGTTTTGTTGAACCAACAAAGACTAATTCATTACAGATTCTCTCAAATTCCATTAAAACATCAAACAAGATCCCAGATTTACCTCTCGAAATCAACATCTTGACCAAGCCCTTGAGATGTTTACCAAATTTACCTCTCTCAACTACATCATTGACTAAGACCTTGTTCCCCTTCTTTTCTTCTCCCACAAGAAACCCCATCAATCTTCTGACATCTTCTTGAGTCCGACCAAGACAATTCTTCGATTGACAAACGCTAACGAGCGCCGCAGCAAACCCGGAGGCCGCTTTGTCGTGCACCGGAGGAGGAGCAACTCTCGTGGGTTTCGTCTGCGGAAGCGGAAACGAGATTGCTCTGAGGCGATTAAGGTTTTTGTTGTTGTGTGAGTATGATGACGAAGAAGGTGAAGACGATGCTGGTCTTGGAAGACTGGTAGATGAAGCAGAAGCGGTGGCGGCGTTAACGGTGGACTTAAAGCGGCGGGAGATGGATCTCAACGGTGGTTGCGGCAGTGGAGGGAGAGAAGGGAGGTTGAAGGATGAAACGGAGGCTGAGAGAGTATCCATGGCTGTCGTCTGACGAAACAAATGAAAAAAAATGAAAAATTGCAGTCCTTTTAAATATTATCCACCCGGAGAAGATGATTTAGTTATTTCTTTGTGTAATTTAAAAAATATCTGAGGTAACGTACATAATTGAAAAACCAAACAAGAAAAACAAAAATACAGAATCTAGAGTTTTTTAAAAATAAAAAATCTAAGTAGATTATGTATAATCAAAGTTGATTTAGCAGTTAGCACTTAACCACTTCAAGGGGTTTATTCATATTCCTCCTACATTTAAATGCGTATATATGAAATGGGCCTCATCTTTGTAACAAATGGGCCAATTTTATATTTCAGAAATTAAAAGTATCTGATACTGAACACGTATAAAGTGAATCAAATACTTTCCTTTGTGTTTGCTATGATACTTGTCTTGTTGGTCAGTAAGGTATGTTTCGTGTAGGCTAAAGTTGTCTCCTCTCGTTCTCGAGCTTAAGCTTAATTCATAATCTATTTTAACCAAACGCATGGAGACAGCTCTTCTTATTCAACGACCAAATTAACCTTTGAGAGTTAAAAGAATAATGTTTAATAATCGACAATCTCGCCGGAGGTTCCGGCTCGGTAACTTAGCTAGACTTGTCCAGTTGCGTCAAAGCGTCAGCCAACAACCACCACCGCGGCGAAGGACTCTTCAAGAAACTTGGTCTCAGTCTCCACCACATTCACCGCCACAATCGCCTTCGTTTCAGCTGCCTCCAACTCAATTTCTATCTCCGATAACTTCAACATCAACAGTACCTTCACCACACTCTCCACCACAACTAAAGTCATCACCAGTATCGCCATTACCACCAAAACTAAATGAAGAGCATCAATCGCAGCCAATGTCATCAAAACATGTCACAACACATCGGAGTCTACTTATCCAATCACCACCTATATCCCCGCCAGAATACACTGAATCTCTAGCCTTGGTGCCTCATACACCACCAACACCAGAAGCAAAGCCACTGTCCCCTACGTCAAAGCTAAAGGCTACCGAAGAATCTCAGTCCCAACCGTCTCCTCCTCTCAACTCTAGTGATGAAACTCGGTTTCTATCACCTCCGCCACCACCGTCATTGTCAGAACCTAAGTCTCAAATGCCTTCATCACCACCAGAAGCTAAAACTCCATCTTCTTCGCCGTTAACAGTTGACGCTAATGAAGAATTCAATTCCAAAATGTCTCCACCGTCTACATCTACTAAAGAAACTCAATTGAAACCATCGCCTCCAACGTTATTAGAAACACCACAAGAAGCCATGACTCCACCACCATCTTCACCGCCAACGTTAGAAGCTAATGAAGAAGTCCAACCCCAGCCGTCTCCACTCCCGTCAAAATCCACTGACGTAAATATCTCACAATCACAGCCGATTTCGCCGCCACCACCATCGTCATTGTCAGCATCCGATGAATCTCATCCGCCTTTACCACCACAAGAAGCCAAAACACTACCGTCTTCGCCGTCAACAATAAACACTAAGGAAAATTTTCAATCATCTAACGAAACTCGGTTCCGATCATCATTGTCAAAAAGAAGAGACATACCACCGCCTTCATCACCATCAGAAGCTAAAACTCCACCGTCAACGCTAAACGCTACTGAAAAATCTCATCCGCTTCGACCGTCTAAATCAATCAATGAAACACGGTTCCAAACACCGCTTCCATCAGAAGCCAAAACTCTACCGCCTCCTCCACCATCAACGTTAAACGCTACTGAAGAACCCCAATCCCAACCGCCTCGACCATCTGAATCCATTAATGAAACTCGACTCCTATCATCGCCTCCGTCATTATCAGAATCTGCTAAATCTCAACAGCTACTACCACCACCGGCAGCTTTAATTCCTCCGCGAACGCTAAACGCTATAGAAGATTCCCAGTCGCGCTCGCCTCGGCCGCCTTGGTCGTCTGAATCCATAAATCAGGCTTTGGCTCGATCATCGACTCTATCGGAAACATCGCCACCGTCATTATCAAAATCTGGAGGTTCTCAGCCGTCTTTACCGCTAGAAGTACAAAATCCAATGTTAAAAGCTAATGTAGAGTTCGAATCACAAACGTCTCTGCCGTTTGAATCTATTGCTGAAACTCAATTTCGATCATCGCCGCCGCCACCACCGTTATCAGAATCTGGTGAATCTCAACCACCGCCAGAAACTAAAATCCCACCGTCTGTCTCGGCTACTGAAGAATCTCAATCCCAACCGCCTCCGACGCTTCTGCCATCAAAAACTATTGATGAAACTCGGTCTCAGTCACCAGTTTCGTCGCAAACATCGCCACCCTCATTGTCAAAGTACGTTGCATCTCCGTCGTCGAAAACCAAAAATCTACCGTCTTCGCCGTCAATCCTAGAAGGTAACAAAGATTTCCGATCTGAAACGTCATCACCACCAGAAGCCAAAATCCCACCGTCAACACCAAACGATACTGATAAATCGAAACACCAGTCGCCTCCATCGCTTCTGCCATCTAAATCAATTGATCGAACTAGGTCCCATTCATCGCCGATTTCAACACCACTACCATCAAAATCTACAGAAAAACCTAAATCAACACAGCCATTGTTGTTGTCCCCGAAAGCTGTTGAAAACCTCAGATCTCAATCACCTATGTCACTACCAACACTAACATCACAATCGCCGATGAAACCTCCAATTCCTTCTCTTTCCACGTCTCCAGCCACGGTCACCGCACCGCCGCCGCAACTCAAACCCGAAATAATTTCGTCGCCTAAACCGTTGGTACCCCAAACTAAACCTAAGCCAATTGATGAATCTCACACTTCACCAGACAATAACAAGGAACAAAATCACAACCCAGAGAAACCGGACGCCAAACTCAGGAAAAAGATTCCGGCTGAGAATGAAGAACCAGAAGCAAGGATCACCGGAAAAATAAACAATAAAAGTAAAGGAAAGGCAATATGGTCAGCGAAAAAGACAGAGCCAATGATAATGATGTTCATTAACAGTAACGTACAAGGATTCAACACTTCTCTGTCGCTCGATTCATCATCCATCGATCATGAACCAGGCGTCCACTTGACCATTGATTCTAATCAAAGTTGTGATTTTTCTTCCAAAGTGTTTTAATTTATATAAAAGAGCTGTTTTTCTCCCTTGTGTTTTGTGACTTGTATATGCAAATCTATGATATTGATATATATATTTTCAGAGTATATTACAAAAAGGATTTGGCGCCATAAAAAGAAGAAAAAAAGGGAGCAAATGGGCCTTTTGTTTAATTGATTTATGGAGCTAAGAATATAAGATTTGTACAGGCCCACTAAACAGTTCTTATGGGCTTCCTTTTCTTTTCATTCATTTTCTAAACAAGGCAAATACAATAAGCTATTAACACATCCATGCATGTTGACAACAACAACAGCAAACAAAAAGATCGCATTTACTATATAACTCATATTGGGCAAGCCAGCTCGATATATATATCGCATTCAAAAACATCATACATATACTGTACTATTTAGCTCCGTTTATATATGCAGCTAAGATTTTTATTTTCATTTATGCACTTACTTATATACCTGAGCAGTAATATAGGTTTTTTTTTTTTTTGGGGTCAAATTCTTGAGCTGATCTTGATTCTTAAACACTTATCAAAAGAAATAATTTTATTTTGTTTCAAAAATACAGCTGTTGGTCAAACTGGGACAGTTAATATGTTAAATGAAAAGTCAAATCAGAATACAAATTCCCATGTTGTGCAATATACAATAGTTTTACCTTTTCTTCATGTGCAATACTGTAAAAAAATAGTTTCACTTTTGCTAAACGGAAGATAGTAAAGACTAAACCTACAACATTCAAATTCTCAACCTAGGTATACGTTTTTGCAGCCTAAACGAACGGGACTGTTTGTGAACAAAGCTTTCTTTGTTGGAATTGTATTACTAATGAACCCAAAAAATAGAAAAGGATACAAATATATACTAAAGCAAGAAACATAGGAGCTGGATGGCATATATAGCTGAAGCTGGATCTGGATGGATGGCATTATGTAGCTGAAGAGCATAGAGACAAACATGCCTCAAAAAACTTGACAGAATGCTTTATTTGTATTTATTACTTCCCTAATTACAATGCAACGTCCAAAATCCAAGTCAAGTCGTTGCCAGACAAATTACAATGCTCATGCTCATGCATGCGTATTCACACACACATCTGTGAATTTAAATTCGAAAAAGCCTAAGTATTGGGAACATCATCTATCCATGGTTAATGTAGACAGTGGCGTGAAGTTCCACGTGAAAAAATACCCCATGCCATAACGAAACAAGAGTAATTGTCTTCCCGTTGAACAACTTTTTCCACTAATACTTCCAATTACCTTTATTAAACCTGATGATTCTACATATTATCGTTATTAATCATGATCAATTAGTATATTATATACTAGTTGCTAAACTAATCAAATATACATATGCAATTCCATTAAGTTTTAATGCAAATTTTGATTAAGTTTTTTCTCATAAATAAATTGATTGAATCGTGGATAACTCATAAAGTGGGAACTTGGCAGTGATACCTAATTAAAAAGAAAAAAAGAAAAATAAATATGTATTCTACTATAACTGGTCATCCTCAATGTATCCAACTACTACTCTGACCGTTTTCTCTTGCCTTCTTTATTTCTCTCGATTTCATATTGTAACGACGTTTCTCTATCAATGAAATTTCAGCCAATTGCATATTTACCTTTTCCAAAAAAAAAAAAAAAACCAATTGCATATTTGCATGTATTCTATTTTTTTTGTCTGGATTATCTGAACTAGAGATGAACTGGTATATATAAACAGTTTAATTAGCCTTTTTATACGGATGGAATGCTTTATACAAAGATAGAAGTATATACAACTTCATTTATACCCGGAGTGTATATTGTATAAATTTGAATATACAGTACACTATGTAGTTTTTTGTTGGTAGAAGAATATATCGTAGTTATTATCTTCTGAATCTTCTTATTTTTGTAAAATGTTACAATTATCAAAGGGGAAAAATATATTTATAATTAAATAAAAAATAGCAATATAACATGTTTTAGAAAGAAAAAAAATAGTTTTAGACGTGGTTAGTGCCAGAATTAAAAAAAAAAGAAATAGAAATTCCGAACAAATTTAAATAAAAACATGTCGGCCGATAATTAATGGGTAATAGTACAGTATGTACTTGGAGATTTAAAATAAAATAAATAAACACCATATCATATTTGAACAAGCTAGCTAGGGTTTTGGAATGACGAATTGTTTCAGTCTTCTTAAAAGGCCACCACCACCTTCTCCTCTGCCTCATCATTCCCTCATCATAACCCCATCATCACCATAGATCTCTTTCTCTCTCTCTCTCTCTCTCTCTCTCTCTCTCTTTATATAAGTATATTGTCTTTCTCTCTCAAAAAATATCACTCTAATCAGTTTTGAGCTGGGTGCATGACTCTGATGTTATCGTGAAGAGAGGCTATTTCCGTTGTGGGGAATGTTGTTTGGATCGAAGATATCATATGCAACACCACACACAAGTTTATATACTAAGATGATACGATGATTGTGTACTAATTAATGTACATGCATATATATGGTATCGTCGGACCAGGCTTCATCCCCCTCAACTTGTTAAATGCCTTCAGTTATCACTCATGGAAAATACTACAAAACCTTAGATTGTTTCTTTTGGTTTGACAAACATCGTAACTCTCTCTAGTCTCTCCCTCACCTCTCTCTCTCTCTCTCTGTTGTTGTTTCTGTGATGATGATTGACCGATAAGTATTTATACGTCTTCCTCCTTCTTTGCATTGTGTTATGGTATTCTACTAGTAGTCGGCAAAACCTATAAATTGGTTCGCTGCATCATATCACTATATATGAAGATCGGTCAAATCTTTATTTGTTTGCGGATATAACTTTGGTCCAACTTTTCAGTAAATAATTCATAATTGATTAAGTGGAGGGAACCCTTTTTACATACTAGTAATATATTTTATCTATGTTAAATTAGTTATCGTTTTATATTGTTTTACACAAACTAAATATGTTTTACTGGAATTTGAAATTGAGGGAGAAGTATATAAAATTAAAGGTATAGGCACAGATTATTTAGAGCATGTTCATTGGTAAACCCATTAAAAGTGTCTAATAAATATAATTATGATATTTTATGTATATTTAATTTTAGACACCCACAAAAATGTCTAATTTAAGACACTTCTCTTATATATTGGATCAAAAAATTTAATAAACTAGATTATTATATTTTTAAAACTCATATTAAGACACCCCCAAATATCTCCATTGTACTTGCTCTTATGTATATAAGTTTGGGAGTGATCAGTTCAGTGCAATCAACTTTGAGATATAACTAAAATTATATATATGACTAAAATTAAATAGGGTTTATGAGAAATTGAAACTTAGTTTTGACTATAAGGGAAAAAATAGCAAAAAGAGATTGAAAAAGTTTTTTTTTTTTGGTTTGTCAAAGTGCTTTTATCTTCTCTCCATGTCACACCTTTTCCTAGTATTTATGAAGATGTGACATCTTCTCTCAATAATTCAATCGTAACATAAATGCACATGTGCTACTAATATTGGGATGCTGTTCTGCAATTTAAATCACTTGTCTTGCTCATCGAGTTATCTGCTTTTGTTGATACAAAACACCATTTGTATAAATAATAGTCGAATTTCTTGAACAATTTTTTACTGATGACCAAAGTAATATAGCCCACAGATATAACCAAATCTATTATTCCAAAATTATAGGGCCTACGATTGATGGCCCATTTCAGGTTAATTTATTTTCTGACGAAAAACATATCTTTATGAATTTTTCTTTTTTTCTAAAGCATTTTGGCATAAATATTTTTAAAATTTCAAGTGGGAATTTAACCTATAAAATAATATTCTCCACTAGAGAGATATTCCAACAACTATAATGAGTTGTGCGGCTTTTTATCTTTGCTGGGTACAATTTATACGTACTTCCATTTAATTCGTTTGTTCCCAAATTAAAAAAGCTTTATTATATATTTCGCCAAAGATTAACTCATTGATTAGTCTTTGTCATATGTCAATAAAAACAACAATGTATCAATCGGATCCTTTTTAAAACTCGCTATAAAATGCAACTTACTGGCAGTATTTGAGTTATTACTGTATAATGTTTTCTCAGCTATTTTGTTTGTACTAGAGAATAGTTTATCACTATGTCTTCTTCTTGTAATCATGAATTATCTTTGGAGGAAAAATACACAAATAATGCAATTGACTCCACTACACCAAGAATTTTCACTTTATTCTTGATGTGAATTATATAATTGAAAATGATAGTTTATATATATATATATATATATATAAACGAAATAACGAAGTCGTATGGAAAAATACTTTTGTGGGAAAGGCAACATGTGTAAGATTCCAATCATGTAAATCAGACGCTAGTTTTTGACTGTTTATTAATTAATTAATATGAAACATTTTTTGTATAATTTATATATTCTAGACAAAAAAGAAAAGAAATAAGACGAGATGACCTACCAATCCAATTTTGGGGCCGGTTTGCACCAATCTAATAGTATTTCATTCAACTAAACCACCACCTTATTTTTTTGTTCCAACATATCTATTTTTTCGGGAAAAAATAATTTATTCTATTTACTACACAACTAATAAGTTTTCATTGTTTATAATATCGCAACATATCAACTTTTTTTTGGTGCATAAACCTCTCAAGCTGTTATAAATTAAGAACTAGACTATCGCGTTTTTTACATTTGAGAAAATGGCTATATTTTATGATTATTTAAAGATAATTCTGATTTGAATAATCAAATTACAAAATGTAAAAAAGATTCATATACATACAGTTTCCTTCTAGTTCTTAATTAACAGATTAATAAACGTACGTATATACAGTATACAATCGTAGTGGATGCGGAGATATTAACTCCAAATAGTCAAATACACACATACGAGGTGTGTGTCACCATCTCCGTTAATCCTGGGTTTATAGCTGGATTATCATTTAAGTTTTAATGATGACAAAAAGGAAAAAAGAACCAAAAAAAGTACATACGTATAGCTATAGGATAAGATTAAAGTCTGTTTTAGTGCTTAAATTTCAAGTAAAATTATATTCGATATTACTTTTTATTTTTTAAAGTTATATTATTAGGAATTCAAATTCGGTCCAAATAAGTATAAAATAAAATAAAGTAAATCTATGCGCACCCCAACTTTGCTATATATACAAGAAACATCACCTTCTCTTTAAAACCAATTAAAGAGACTCATCTTCAAAGCAAATGACCAACATGCGACCTTTCCTTCACCGTCCATCATCTCTTACAACAATCTCTCTCACTTTCTAGGCAAAACACACATATCTTCTCGAGAAAATAAACCAACATGGGAGAGACAGAAACCATGGCGACAAACTAACCAAACCATATATATACATCTATTATCTATATACTATCTAATGAGTAACGGAGACAGAGTCATGATCAGCCACTGGAGCTTCCACATACCACGTCTATATCATCATCATCATAATGAGCATGATCATGAAAAGGTACCAAAAGGGTGTTTGGCAGTGAAGGTAGGACAAGGAGAAGAGCAAGAGAGATTTGTGATTCCCGTTTTGTACTTTAACCATCCTTTGTTTGGACAACTCTTGAAGGAAGCTGAAGAAGAGTTTGGTTTTGCTCAAAAAGGGACCATCACCATCCCTTGTCACGTTGAGGAGTTTAGGTACGTTCGAGGATTGATCGATCGAGAAAACACTAAATATCTCGGTCATAATCTCTTTGATCATCACCAGCATTATCATCACAACCATCTCATACGGTGTTTTAGGGTTTGATGCTCTCTTGTTTTGGCTGTTTTTAATAAAGTATACATCTATCTCAGTGCTGTTGATTGTAAATAAATATTGGTCTTCATTTCATCTCTATCTTATTGTGTGCCTCTTTGTTGTTCACATATATTTCAAATTACTTTTTTTTTTTTATCATGTCAAATGACTTTTCTTTTTTAAGTATATATCATGTCTCATGTATATCGATTAATTATTCTACGCTTATATATGTCCGATCATAAAATCATATATAACGTTGCAATAAAAATAGATTGTGAAAAATAACTATTTACATACTTAATCGATCGATCTCTTCTGTTAGTTTGAAATTGCCAATTGAAATTCTACATTTTTATTGAAATTTCTGAAATTGGTTTGAGGTTTAGTCAACATCTTATAGAATTTTAATATTTTTATTTAACTCGTTTGGTTTTTCCAACTATTTCACAAATATGTAAAACCATTTGGACAAGGAAGTAGTTTAATGTTTTTTTTTTTGTTTTTTTTTTTGTAATTCGTGGTTATATCACATATATACCATAAATATAACTTCTGTCTTACGTTTACGTTGATAAAGTTACGTGGAAACGAAGCTACTTAAACTCATCTGATCGAAATTTTGTTAAAATTGTTTGGTTCAACTATGAGTTATGAGTTATGATATATATGTAAGGGAAAACTTTATATATCACACACACTTTAGAATCTATCCTTAAGAATCCGAAATTTTATTTCCATTATAATTTTCCGTACGATTCTTTGAAAAAATAGTAATTATAATAATGGGATTGAAGAATTTTGAAAGTGGAAAGAAATGGAGGAGAGGCTTTGACACTTTTCGAATGGCCAGAACAGCAAAACGCACTCACTTCAAAAATCACGATCGTGAGTAAACATGTTTTATAAGTTTACGGGCCTATCTTGGGCTTTTGTATTGCTTGGAAATTTAGATCAGTCTTTATAGACTTAGCCCATGCTTTTATAAGCGAATCCAACAAGGCAAACATGTTTATAAACTATTATTACTCAATTTTAAACATTATTTAAAACAATTTTAAATCTATACCTATTTATTGTATATTTTTATTAGATTATTAATTATTTATGATGATTATTAGAAATTGAGTAATACATAAAAAAGGTTAAATTATTAAATACAATTGACTGAAAAAAATGTTAACAATTATATTTACTATAGTCATTTGTTTTTCATTTTTGCCTATATATATGTTTTTTTTAATGTTCATTTTTTTGTCATTAAGGAAAATCACCATTTATAGTATTAATGCCATATTTCACAGGTATAAGTCATCTTACTTTTTTTTTGGTGAAGGGTATAAGTCATCTTACTACTACCATCTGTTTAATCTTTAGTCAAATCCATAAATATATTTTTACTTTGATTTTAAAGTAAAACAAATAACTTATAATAGATCTGCAAAATTAAAGATCACTATGTTATTTAATGGAGTAAAATCCTATAATTGAAAAGAGAGATATAAATATATAATCTACTTTTTACCCAAATGGAGTTAAATAAGACTAGTACCTTGAATGGTTAGTTGAAAAAGGTAAAATTGAAAAGAGGATACAGCCGATGAGTAGCTGACCTTCTCGTGAACGAGAGGACCCAAGTTCTTAGTTTAAATAAGCAAACTCGCACCCCTGGAAGAAATATAGTATAATATCAAATCATATCTAGGAAAACACTTAGCATAACTAAAGATGATGGTCAAGCTTCTGCTTTTAACAATTTTGATGATCTCTCCCATTATGATATGCGCCAAGAAGGACCTGATGACAAATGAATGCCACAATGCACAAGTCCCGTCCATATGCATGCAATGTCTCGAATCCGACCCAACCTCTGTTCAAGCCAATCCTGTTGGCATCGCTGGCATCATCCTACACTGTCTTGACTCTCACCTCATTATCATCACCAAGCAAGTTTTCATTTAATTATGACCAAATATTTATATAAATTATACTAATATATATCCTCTAATATATCAATTTTTTTTCTAATTGGTGTAGCAACATAACCGATTTATCATCAAAGAAAGAAGAAGGCGAAGTGAAAACAGCTCTGGAGATTTGCAAAGCGGATTTGCCGAATACAGCTACAAAACTGTCGGAAGCCAAAAAAAGTCTAGTATCCGGTGACTACGACAAAGTCAACCAATCGATAGAGTTTGCGCTTAGCTTTCCTCTTGGGTGTTTGTTACAACTCAACAATGTCAATTTCACGTTTCCCCAACTAAGTAGCCAAATCCAAATATATGCCCAACTCTCTGATGCTGCTATGCGGATCATTGATCGCTTCTAATAACTCCTTCTTGTTGTTCTTTTCTATATGACTTAATTCACCTTATTTTCCAAATTACAACTGTCTTTTGCAAAATTAATAAAATGGTTGAACATATATATTTTCGTTAAAACATGTGATGATGATTGCTGTTGTCACAGACAAAAAAATAATAGTACAAAATGATGACATCATATAAATGGTGTATGTCGGACCAATTCTCCTTGGCCATATGCTATCTATTAATCTATCTTCGAATCTTTAACCGAGTTCTGAGTACCACCACAATATAGAATTTTTGATAAGATTCCTTTAAATTGGTTCCTACGCTATTCGCAATCCCTTCACGCAAATCCTTAAAACAACCTTTTCATACACGAGATTTACAAGATCAATAACCACAAAATATAGACGTAGACGATACAATTTGTCACCCAAGTAGTGACTTTGTTGTTATATGCAAAGTCATATTGGTATCAAAATTAAATTTTTTTTTGCAGAAGAAACAATTTTTTCTCTCTCTCTTTTTAAAATCCAATCATATTTTTGGGTGTGTAGGAAAAATACATATATATTAACATACTACATGTATAGGATCATCACAATACAACCATGCACCATGGAACGTACACGAGCACATTAATATCTACTATATAAAGTTTTTTTTAATATATATTTTATTCATTTTCTTCAACCTCATAACGTACGTGTAGAAATTTGAGAAAACACTTTACACTATATAAACTTATGTTTTACCTGCCGTTAATATTATCATACACTCATACTCACACTAGTGCAAATGCAAATATATTAACTTATGGTAGGTAGTGTTCAATGATAAAAGCAGCTAAAACATAGTTGTAAACTTGTAAAGAAGTGACGTCCAAATAATTACCAATTCAATAGATTATTGTGTTAGTATCTAGTTAATATTGTCCATCATACGAAGTTACAGTCGTCAAACATTTCAAATTCTTTCAGTTGTTTTTTTTTAAGCCAGCCAATTTTTTATCATTTAAATTTTTCAATATAATTTTTTTTTATATAAATGATCATGCAATGTAATCCAAAATATATTGTCTATTTCATCGAAGTTGGACCACTAAAAATACTTACAAGAATTTGTCTTCTTTTAAAGAAAAGAAATCAATTCAGTTTTCACGTGGCTAAGTACTATTGAAATATATATCACAAGATACAAATCCACGTACGAAAACCAGAATATGAAAATTAGTTATTTTTATTTTATTTGTTTAGAATTATGAAAACTTGTTATTACGACTATATTTCTGTCTATTTATATCTTCAGTAATCTTCTTACTCTATTATATAACATCTTATTTCATCCTTGTCTCCTCTTAGCTAGGTTTGGTCGGAAAAATAAATGGATAATAACCTTACTTCTTTGTCGTCTTCTATGCTCTCTATTACGCAACAAACTCCAGCCATAGTGTCCTCATCTCCGACGGAACTACTCCAGCAAAAACTCCGGTTTATCGTGGAAACCTCGCCGGATCAATGGGCTTACATCATTTTTTGGCAAAAGATGATTGATGATCAATTAGACCGGTCTTACTTGGTTTGGGTTGACGGCCATTTCCGTGGAAACAAGAACTACACATCCCAAGAAAATGTTCATTTTTTTCTCTCTTATTTTAATCTATTTTAATATGTTTTACAATCAAAATACCCAAGATTTATTTTACTCATTATACATTAAGATAAAAATACAATTTTCTCACCCTTGATTTTGTTTTGGTTTCTTTCTTAATTAAGCATACAACTAAGAGCATCGAGTGTGAGCTGATGATGGACGGTGGAGATCTTGAAATGTTCTATGCCACATCGTTTTACGGTGAAGATGGGTTGTGGAGAAAGGAAATTTCCGATGAATCTTTAGTTTGGCTAACCGGTCTCGACGAACTCCGGTTTAGTAGCTACGAGAGAGCTAAAGAAGCTAGTTTTCACGGAGTACACACATTCGTCTCCGCACCCATACACAATTGCATCATCGAACTTGGTTCGTCTGACTCCATTAACAAAAACTGGAACTTCATCAACCGGGTCAAGTCAATATTATTCGGGTCAGGCAAAACCCTAGAACTCACCAACCAAACCGGTTCTTATTCTAAACCGGTGGAATCAGATCACTCGGAAATTGGAAATCAGCAATTCAGATCGGAAAACAAACGGATGAAGAAACTCGAGAAGACGGATGGCGCTACGGCGAAAGAAGTGTCCCACGTGGAGGCGGAGAGGCAGCGAAGAGAGAAGCTAAACCACCGGTTTTACGCTCTACGTGCCATCGTACCAAACGTATCAAGAATGGACAAAGCGTCGCTTTTAGCCGACGCCGTTTCGTACATCGAAGATCTTAAATCCAGAATCGATCATCTCGAAACTGAGATGAAGAGTTTGAAGACGACGATGACGGAAACTGATAAATTAGACCACAACAGCAGCAACACGTCTCCGTCTTCCGTAGACCAGGTCAACCAAAAACCATCGGAAGCAAACTTGGAAGTGCAAGCGAAGATCGTCGGAGACGAAGCCGTGGTTAGGGTTCAGACGGAGAATGTGAACCATCCTACGTGTGCATTGATGAGTACGTTAATGGAAATGGATTGTCGTGTACAACGCGCGAACGCGTCGCGTTTGGGGCAGATTATGGTACAAGACGTTGTTGTTTTGGTTCCAGACGGATTACGATCGGAAGATATGCTTAGGACCACACTTGTCCGAAACCTAAGCTCACTATGCTAAGTTTAGTCATGTATACGTGATGAAACTCGTTAATAATGCTTTGTTATCAATATAATTAGTATTAAAACTTTTATATAAATTTGTGCGATGATTAAAATGTGTGGTCGATCGTGTTAAAGTTGAGCAATTATCCAACATTTGAAATATATTTAATGAACGTATATGCAAATAATGCACACTTTAAACTATACACTTTGATTGGTTAACGTTATCCAATCAGGAGAAAAAATTTACAAAAAAAATATTCAAACTCTGGTTAGACTTAGATATTAACGAGAAACGAACGAAAACAAAATTTTATGCTACTGAAAATATACAAAATAATTGTAGTAGTATGTTCGTTCTTTTTTAAAAAAATATGACCCATGACTAATTATTCTGGCTCTGCCATTGACTTGCCCACGGTCCCGTCTTCAACAAGCTGTACCAATTTTTGAAGATCATCAACGTGCAATAATAAATTTTGTCTTTTTTTTCTCGATGGGTGATGGGACTTTTTTTTGGGATGTATGATGTTAAACAAATAAACAATATCCATCGAGTGTTTTTTTTCTTGCTAAGAATTTTTTGATTAGTATTCGAATAATCAAATCTTTCTTGTTTCATCGAAAATTCGATTTCGTTAAGAAGTTATCATTATAATAAGGAGATCTTACCTTTTCCTTAAGAAAAGATCTTGTGCAAAAAAATTTCTTAAGGAAAAGGGGGTGTAAGATCCTCCTATAATGTTGCTCTTAGTCAAACAAAACCACGGTGTTTAAGTATTTACAAATACGTGTCTATAAGAGATACAACAATTTTTTTTACAACATGTACGATCTTCCAAAGCAAAAAAAACTTATAAGGACCACACTTCTGTGAAAGCTGCTAGCTCGTTCACTATATTGTCAATTCACAGTGAATTAACGCATTGCTTTATATTTATTATTATAAGACTGTTGTTAAGACATTGATTGGTTTACAATATGTTCAACAGTTTGGAGAAAAGTATTAGTACAAACTGTACAATGTACAGGAAAAAAATTATTTAAAGTATACAATAATATTAATGTAGAGAAAAAAAGTGGTACAATAATGCAAAGAAAAAAAAAGGGTACAATAATGCAATTGCATTGAATATTTATTTTTGCTTTTGTTTGCTTTGTTAACAATATAAGTAGTAGTACTAAATTACGAATTGGATTAAATGTTTAAAATGCTTTTGTGCGCGATGAAGTAAGCATTACTATATCCAAACATTCACATATGAAACACAACATATGCCAATTTTGTATCTTATGTAATGTATTTTTTTTTATTAGGTTTTTTTTTTTTTGAATGCAAAATATTTTTCTTTTTTTCTAAAAGGAAAAGATTATGTGCTATCAAACCACACTTATTCACGTGTCTATAAATAAACTATGATACAATAATAATTATTGCTTCGAAATTAAGGTTCTTAATAGAAAAGTCAGAAACATTTATCTTTTCACATGGTTGTCCAATCCTGCTATAGCTGCTGCACCCACAATGTAACGATGTCAACATCAAAAACTCTTATGGCCGGTTCAATTATATTTTAAAATGGCACTCTACATGAAAATTTATATAAATAAATAAATATACAATACATGTATGAAATTTGTAAGGCTTATTGATTTTCAAAAACCATTTCTTTATATGTATATAATATTTATGTTATATATATTTAAAAAGAACAAATGTTAGATGTATTATTATGAAAAAAGGTGTATGAAATATTGTTGGATTTTGGCCAGCCACTTTGCTTAACCTCTCATTCTAGTTATGGATAAAGTTCATTACAACATTTTCGATATTTTACCTAATTAAGGATTACACAAAAACACACTTAACTAAAAAGATCCAACATCAAATGGGCTTTAATTAACTTCTGGCCCAATTGGCCCTTTTTCTCTTTACTAAGTCACGCTCTCTAGTCTCTCCTTTCTCTTCTTCATCTTCTTCTACTAGCCCTCTTCTTCTCACACTAGCTATTTCTCTTTGTACAGGATTGAATAAATATGATATTCCAACAAATATAAGGCTTATTTAGTGAAAATCTGTTTTTGCCCCAAAAAGAAAAGAAATTGTTAGGGCTTATCAGGCCTATTGGGTAATTACGGCCTAATAATAATGAAATAACATAACTCATTAGGGCCCGATAACATAACTAATCAGGCCTCTTGGATCATTTTCCAGTTTGACGAGAAACGTAAATCGCTATTTCGTCTCTCTCCCTTCAACAAAAAAAAGCCCCCAAACGATTCTTCGCGAAATTGTCTGCGCCTCTTCGTTCTCTCGCTCCGTCGTCTGTGAAATCGATTCAGGTAAAAATCACACTATTCTCCAAATTAATGTTTCTTCTGTGATAAACCGATTCTCTCAGATCTTATATGTTGTTGTGTGGTTTTGTTTATTCACGAGATCTATGATTTTGCAACTCCGTCGATGTCTCAATAGATCGTTATTACGTTTAGAGATATGTTATTTGATGAGAAGGAGAAGAAAATAAAACGAGATAGTTTTCATAGATCGCTTCGTATTGATTATGTGTGAAAATACACAATCCGGTTCTACGTTTGCGTTATGATTGAGATTTGTTGGATGGGTTTTTTTATTTATTTATTCAGCTGCTTAATTATGTAATCTTTGATGAGTTTCATTGGCTTGATTAGGGCTTAATATGCCCTGAGACTTCATTTTAATTCCACAAATTACTGTAGCTATAATCTGATATATGTGGCTTTCTCCGAAATGATCGTTCGTTTTTCGTTGTGTGTGTGCTGATTGTGAATATTTTTTGATTTGTACATGGAATTGTGGCTTGATTAATGTTTGATATCTCTCTAGATACTTCAGGTTAAGGATGTCAAGAGGTACATACATTGTTGGTGCTCTTGCGGGATCTGCTGTAGTAGCTTACGTGTGTGACAAAGTTATCTCTGATAATAAGATATTTGGAGGCAAGTTTCCATATTCCGAAAAAATTCATAAGTTAGCTACTAATGATATACGATAAAAGCTAAATCGGTTTGTTTTTAACTCTCAGGCTCTACCCCGGGAACTATAACTAACAAGGAATGGTTGGCTGCAACTGAGGAGAGACTCCAAGCATGGCCAAGAACCGCTGGTCCTCCCGTTGTGATGAACCCTATCAGTCGCCAGAATTTCATCGTCAAGTCACGTCCAGAGTGATTTGCCTTCTGGTGCATCGTTCTCATTCGTTATGGATTCATTTATGATATTTGCTCTTTTGTGTTTGATTTGAGGATCGGCTAATTGCTCTAGCTGGTTATAGTAATAATCTGTGTTGATGGATAACACATTTATTCAGACCAAGCTTTTCCGGATGCATGGCTTTTTGTAAGGTTTGTTGATTTTGACGATAAATGAAATTCGAGCCAACAAGACTCAGCTTAGCTTCCACATGATGGGTTTCCCAACTTAGATTGAAAAAGTTGGTGGTTTATTTTGTTTGGATTAATTTTGAAAATTCAGAACCGAAATATTTCCTTTCAGTGTTTGTTCTGGCTAGTTCTTGTAAGTTTTAAACCAAACATAATGCTTTCTTCTTTATGCATCTCAAGCATTACAATGAATTCCGCACATACCGTGAGGTAACTATCAATTTAGCGTCATTCATTCATTCTAATGGACTGGTTCATTTCGTACACCACACTGAACCGGTGCCACTAATACCATACAACAACGGTACTGAAAGGAATTGTCTCAAAATCCTTAACAGAGACTACCTGCTAAAATGACGGAAACTTTTTCCTATCTCTGTGAAAGAACATAAAATCCTGAAGAGCAAAAAAAGGAAGGCAGAACCTATATAATATCAACAAACGCATCATTTCTTCTCCCCCCCCCCCCCCCCCCCCCATTTTATTTTCCTTCAATTTTTGCATCATCACTGCCAAGTCTAGCAGCTGAACCACTTTGCTCATCAGCTGTACTTTGGCTCACATTGGTCCCATCCTGTTTACCTCCGCCACTAGCACTGTTCCGACCTGCTGTTGGTAGAGAAAGATGGTGAAATATCAGTAATGTGATGATAAAGATCCAAACTGCTGCAAAATCAAACTTTGAGGAAATGGTTATAGAAATTACAGTTGTTTGGGTCAAGAGTAGTTTCCGGGTGGTGCATTTGATGTTGCAGTCCGTTATTATTATTATTATTCAAACTCATTGGTCTAAATCCCATGTGCCCTTGCATAGCTTGTTGATGTAACTGTTGCTGTGGATCCTGAAGTTGATGCGGGTTACCAAATTGCAATGGACCTCTTGGAGGGACTATCCCGGGTGGCATGTGTTGAGCCATTCCCATAGCTTGTGGATGTTGCTGCATGAAGTAGCTTGGTGGTGGCTGCATTGCTGACGGATGAGGAAGCATCTAGAGAAACCAAAAACACATAAACTATAAGAATCCCAATGTTATCTTTCACTTCAGTGAAATTTTTATTGATCAAAACAGAAACTTACAGCTAGGGGAGTCATCATGGCTCTTGGTATTGGTGCAGCTGCCGGTGGCTGAGGTTGGGAATCCGCTATTGCAGCGAGATACATCAAATTCTTTTGGAGAAGAGCTTGATACCTAACACAATCAAGATTCCTCTATTCTTAACATTCCATTTACAATTAAAAAAAGAGAGTTAACATAGCTCAAGACCGTAACAAGACTATCCCAAACTTACTGAGCACATTCTGCAAGTTTACCGAGGTGTTGATTTTCCAGTATCGCCATTATAAGCTTCTTGTTCTCATCAAGATACTTCAAGAAGCAACAAAACAAGTGATCAAGCAAAAATACTATTAGTCAATGTCTAAACATCACAATCATATTCCAAAGCTAATTCATTCACTTCAAATATAAATTTCAAATTCCAGTCCAAACTTAAAACAGATAAAAAAAACAATACTTTAAGACAAATCATACGACGCTATTGCCTATTGGCTCTCCTAGCAGAAATTATTATATTCAAGAAGCTACCATAAATCAAAGACAAAGCAAAGCAAAAACCTTTTGGATCTGTTCAGTAGTGATGTTGGTTGGCGGAAATGATGGAAGAACCATCGGAATCATCTGTGGAGATTGCTGCATCTTTTAATTTTTTTTTTAACCAATCAAAACTGAAACAGTGAAACCCTAATGAATCGTTCGTCCCACAATGAAAAAAAAAGTGATAATAGAATTGTTAAGAACCCAATGCAAAAGACAAAATTATGCAAAAAAATTCAACGATTATTTTGGATTATCCTCAAAATTTCAGACTTTTTTTATTTGTTTGAATTTCGCCGACGAGGTTTCTGGGAAATTTTAAGACAAAAAAAGTCCTAAAACAATTAAAACTGTCTCCCCACCGAATAGCACACGTGGCGATTTGTCTAAATTTTCGTCTGCTCTATGATGATGATAAATTGATAACCAAAAAAATAAGAAGGCCACCGCTGTCTTTATTTATTGGGCCTCTTAATGGGCCTTTTAATCAATTAAGAAGGTTACTTTTAATGTTTGCCGTCAGCCATGTACTACCAACGTTAGCTCCAACGACGGCGATAGAATCAACCGTCGTCTACCGAATAAAGCAAACCCCGATCCCTCACCGTGGCTCCGGATATCTTACGGCGGTTGTTTCCGGCTCGGACTCGAAGAGCTGTCCCTATTCTCCCTTTGACTAGGCTGGAGATGAACCTTTTCCGGTTCTGCTCCGGTCTGAAAGTTCTCGGCTATTTCATGATTCTTCTCGTCTTCGCCGTTGTTGCTGTATCTTACTACGCCGTCGTCGTTAGCACATGGTGGCCGATTTTGATCCGCGGCGACCATGGAGCTCTATCTGCCCTCGCAATCTTAATCATCTTTACTTTCCATTTCCTGGTAAAATATTTTCAAGTCTAATCATTTCAGATTTGGTTTTTGTTTCTCTTGGATTGAAGACTTGATGTTGTAGGATTTTGCTGCTTAGCCCCTAAACTCTAAATTAATTATGTAGCAACTAGCATGAGAATGAGAAATGCATTGGGTTTAGGCTTGGTTAATTTGGTAGCCATGAACTAGTTTAGAGTTTAGATACATAATCTTTGTTAAAGACCATGAATCGTTATAGAAAATTCAATTTTGTTTTACTCTCTCTTGAGTTATAGACCATAGTTCTGATGAGATGATGCTTGATTGGTCCTTTGCAGCTGATAATGTTGTTGTGGAGCTACTTCTCAACAGTTTTTACGGATCCAGGTTCTGTTCCTGAGCATTTCAGAAGAGAAATGGGAGGTGGTGACAATTTGGAGGCTGGTACTTCAACAGATCAAGGAGCTTTTGGCTCTTTAGGTTACTGTACCAAATGCAGGAATGTTAAGCCGCCTCGTTGCCATCATTGTTCTGTGTGTAAGACGACACCTGATTTGTTTATACTATGTTAGGTATCTAGTGAGGGAGGAAATAAGCTGTACTCGGTTCACGTTTTATTTATGCAGGTCAAAGATGTGTTCTCAAGATGGATCATCACTGTGTTTGGATTGTCAATTGCGTTGGAGCACGCAATTACAAATTTTTCCTTCTCTTTCTGGTACAAACCCTTTCCGTTTTCAATCTTATGGTGTTTGAATGGGTTATATTAGCAATGTAATTACTTTATTTGCTGATTTCTTCACCTATTTTTTTTTAATATCTGTAGTTCTATACTTTTCTGGAGACAATGTTGGATGTTATAGTCTTGCTTCCTAGTTTTATTGAATTCTTCAGCCAGGCTATTAAGCATTCCTCTTCTCCGGGTAAACTAGCCTCCCTCGTTCTGGCATTCGGTGAGTGTAAACGGTTCTTTTCTTGCTTTCTCTTTCCCAGAAAGTGGTTAGCTTTTTTCTGGGTCTCATTCTCCCTCCTTATGTTTCTTACAGATTCTATCCCCTTGATGCAGTTCTGAACTTAGCGTTCGTTCTCAGCCTTCTTTGTTTCGTAGTTATGCATCTTTCTCTTCTCTCATCCAACACCACTTCAGTTGAGGTAAGTACTATGTTTCCTTCTACAAACAACTTAACGCTTGAACATATGATTCTATTCTCTTAATTTATTGTCTTATTTTGTAGATGCATGAGAAAAATGGAGAAGTTAGATGGAAATATGACTTAGGAAAGAAGAAAAACTTCGAGCAGGTGAGTCCTTTTGTTTTCTATCTTTCCATGGATTGATAGTTAAATTGATTAAACTCTTTGAATCTGCTGTCTTTTCTTGTGAAGGTTTTTGGGAGGAAGAAGGCTTTTTGGCTCCTCCCATTGTACTCTAAAGACGATCTTGAAAACATAACTTCCCTTCAAGGCCTTGAATTTCCAACTCGTTCTGACATCGACCCTTGATTGAAAACACATCAACCAATAATTATAGAAAAGGTCTTCAACTACACCCCAATGTAGATAACTCTCTTCTCAAAAAGATTTGTGATAGCACATTGTTGTGAATTGTGATAATGAAATTGATTTGATTCATTTCTTTGGTTCTTCTTTAAAATTGTTGTGATGATGAAATTGGTTTGATTCATTCCTTTGTTTCTTGTTTAAAGTCTAAGTTCGTTTGACATGTTCAACTCATAGTCTATGAATAGATTTGGTTTGCTTTGTCAAAATCATGGTAGGTTAATTTCGTAAAGATGTTTACTAATTCTCATCCGACATATTCGAAAATCGAAGTGCTGAAGTCTTATTGCACAACGGCTACATGTCGTAGAAGTTATGTATAAGAAAGAGCAAAAAGAAAAACTCGTGCATGTGATTGAGAAGAATATTATTCAGAAGAGAAAAAAAAAAAAAGTCTCATAATTTAAGATCAAATCACTCACCCTACCCCTCAGGAATCTCCATACCAAACCAGAAACCGTAAGGTTTCGATTTCATATTTTATAACACATGAGAGAGAGCTTTTAAAGTTTCTCCAAAGAAACAAACTACAAACAAATCCCCAATTCACCTTCTCCTTTTCTTTTTCTACTTGCTTAGTTTTCTCTATGGTTGCTAGTAGGGTCGGTACCTTCGGCCTCCTCTGTTACCATCATGTTCATGACTGTTATCTCGGCCTGATCCTCCACTCGAGCCGTTATTCCGGTCAACTCTTCTTGGTCGTGGTGGTGGTGCCGCCATCTGCATACCAGGCTGTTGCCTGCACAACAATCCATATTGGTTATTATTATCATAAACAAATGAAAATATGAATCAAAAGAGAAGGATCAACCATCAACTTACAGAACATAGCCAACTCGGCCGTCAGGAAGAAGCATTGGAACCATTTGCATCCCTGTTGGCATTGCTCCTCTACCATAGATCATAGGCTGCTCAATGCAAAATTAAAGTAAAACGTTACACAAGGAAAAAAAATTGCTGATAAGACTACTTAAAGATGACAAACAGTTCTTTCTTAGAAACACATACCTGACTAAAACTACCGGCAATACCCAAACCGGCACCCATAGCACCATAAGGAGGCGCAGCAAAACCACCAAAAGTGGGATGCACAAAGGGGGCAGGATTAGGTGCAGAACCATAAGAATAAGAAGGGTCATGCTTCCTTTCAGCCTGGGGTTTAGCAAGCACAACTTCTAGCGGTTGACCTGAAGTTTTTAAGTTGTGGAAGGTGTTACTAAATAACATCTCTTGAGATGGAAAAACAAACACTATTAGAGACCAGTTGAAAGCATATTGTCATGTTACTCAATAGCTGACTTCTACATGAGTAAAAAAACTTACCGTTGATTTCATATCTCTCGGTATCTTTGACAGCCTTCAGTGCACTAGATCTTTCAGCATAGTGGACAAACCCAAAATCACGTTTTCCACCCTTTCCAGGAGGCGTAACAATTTTCGTCACTTCTCCGTGCCTCTGAAAGAGTTCCTTTAGTTGCTCTGTTGAGGTATTCTCAGGAATATTTTTGACATAGAGGGCTTTCACCTAAGTAAATAGCGCAAAGAGATTTTCAAAAAAGTGCCAACTTTCCCAGGAGAGAAGATTTGGTGCAGATTGGTACACTTTCTATTTAAATAATACCTGAGCAGCAGCAGCAGAATGCTCGGGAGAGCTTTTAGGGTCAGCCCAAGTCACAGTTGGAGCGTTACCCTCAAGCTTAAAATTCGAATCTATCATTTTCTGCCTTGAATGATCAGCACACGCATTGTTATAGTATAAAACAAATGCAAAACCACGGTTACGAGTGGAATTTGTTGGGTCCTACAAGCACCAAAAAGATAATTAGTAAGGGAATTAGGTAAGAACAAGAATGACAATCAGATTGATTAATTCTTCTTACTTTTATGAGCTCGATGTTCTCCACTCCAGGACCAACATCTTCTATGACTTTCCTAAACTCATCCTCAGTCCAGTTCTTTGGGATGTTACCAATAAACAACCTATTCTTAGTTTCAGAAAGAGAGCATCTTATAGTTTTTCCCTGTACAAATATTAGATATGGGTTAAACAGAAGTGGTTATAAGTAAAATGTCAACTAGCAATGATCGATAAGTTAGGCTACAGTTAGCAGTTGAGATTACCTTAAACTCTTTACTGTGCAACTCCTCAATGGCCTTTTGCGCAACATCTTTTGTTTTGAAGGCCACAAAAGCATAACCTTTGCTATCACCAGAATCCCTATCTTTCATCAGTCTCACCTAATAAAAACGAAGTTATAAAGTCAGCCGTAAATACGTAATCAACAAAGAGGATCATCCTTAAATTGGATAAAAGGTTAATGGAGCACCAACCTCAAAGATCTCGCCTATTTCTTCACATAGATCCCTTAGGTCCTCTTCTCCAACATCCCTTGGGAGCCCACCAATAAAAACTTCAGAACCGTGAGGAGGAAGTGAAAGAAGATGGGAATACTTTTCCCTTTCTTCTTCATCAATAGGAGAAACTGGTTTCTCATCATCATCAGCAGTCTCAATATCAATATGGTTGTCGTCATCTTCAGCTATTTCCTCCTGACCATCTTCCCTATCCCCTCCTTTTGTATCACCATAATCTTCCACCTCATGTTCTTCGGCATTCTGATTGCCACCGTTACCATCATCTTCGTCTTCTTCTTCCTCTTCTTCATACTCTTCTACTTGTTCCTCCTCCACTTCATCCTCCATCTCACTGTAGCTACCCTCCTCGAAATCTACACGGTCATCATTATCTCTAGCGTCTGACATGAGGCTCTTGCAAACGATATCTGATCATCCAATTAACCATACTCTTTTAACCAGGAAGCTCAGATGTGAAAAATGCTATAGGACCATATACCAACAAGCTTATAATGTACAAAAAGAGAAGCAGAATTGGGTGATATGAGAGTTTTTGGTGTTTAATTCGTTTTCTTTATACACTTAAGAATTTTGAAGTCAAGTGGAGAAGAAAGGATGGTTAAAACTAAATTTAGGTTCTGCTAGTGGCAGGGATACAGAAGAATTGCTACCACGAAACTAAATGCGATAAAAATCAAAACTTTGAGAAAGAGTTGTGTTTGTGTAGCTTTGATTCCAGATCCAAATTCAACTTAAAAAAGCAGTCAAATTTATTAACAGAACGAATCAAGCCATAGCCGAAAGCAACCAATGAAATTAGAGATCGTAACTCACACATCTCTCCAGAAAACAAGAAAAAATCGAGCACAAACCAGAAAGCAAATTACTCACCAGCTAAGCTCAGCTCAGAAACAAAGTGTAAAAATCTGAACTTTGAAACAGGCTGAGAGAAAGAAACTAGGGTTTATCTTTTTATTTTATTTTATTTGGGTGAGGGAACGTGAGGGAGAGAGAGATAGAGAGAAAACTACGAAACAACCAAAACAAATGTATAAGAAAAGTAGAAATGGAGAATTTTCTCGGCATACCAGACCGTGTTTGTGTTTCGAAATGGGGAAATTGGTGTTTCGTGTTGGGGAAATTAGGGATTTCGCTTCGGTTGCCCGACGAATACTGTTTTTTTTTTTACTCAAAAAACTTCGTCGGCTTATTTCTCCATCTCCGGTGGAAGAAGACAACCCCTCTTTACCACCCCCACTCGTGTTGGGCTATGGTCACATGTAACGCACACATTTTCACTCACCCTAAAACGAAACGCTATTAAGGCCCATTATAGTTCTATTGGGCCTAAGGTTTTTATAGCTCTCCGTGATTTGTTGCACGCTCTGCTGTTTTCGCGTCTCTCGCTTTACTTCTCATCATTTTCAATTAATTTAATCCAATTTACGTTCAATGGGGGTTTATTATATTATTCCACTTAAGGTAGTGAATAAACATGCACTAAAGCTGATAAAAGATAAACAATTACCAAAAGTGTTAGCCAAATTGGTAGACTTTAATGATTGTTTATTTGTTTGAGACTCTATTGTTTTAGAAGCATTTAATTAATCTTTAGGTATGATATGGATTAGTGTGTAACGTCGAAGACAAGACTGATCATGTAGGAATCATGTCACATGGGTTCTGTTCTTTGCTCGTGTCTCAAGTTGCAAAGTTGCAGCCTTTTTTTTTAATGGTCATTTCCTAACAACTTCACTTTTGTATATATATATTTTTTTTTTTAAAAGGTGGGGGCTGTAAAAATTTCGTTATTTTATACTCCCATATAATTAAATAAATACACTTATATCATATAATTAAATAAATACACTTATATCATGACAGCTAGATAAATTAATTATTGTTCATATTCTAAAGTTTACACATTTAACTAAAATAAATGGACATATTTATATAGAAATCAATTAGTACAGACTACATTCCAATTTCCTTTTCACACACACACAAACACACACAAAAATTATTACACACCAATCTCAAAAAGATCATCAATTAAAACTAGAAAAAGTTATAGTTCTTTTTGTCAAAATATTTATTTATATCTATGAAAAAAAAAAAAAAAAAATCATCACACCGGTTAATTTTGGATATTGGGAATCATCATCTTAACCAGCGCCTATAGTCGCTAGTAGAAGCAGGTGAGATCTCTCCACCACCACCAAGAGACTCGGTACAACAAGAAGAGTAATTTGATTGTTGCTCCAATGCTCCTAATTGTGAACCTCCTATACTCTTGAAACTTGGACTCCTTAAACTCTGACCGTCTATTTGATGCGGCAGCGGTGGAACTGGAAACGAAAGCCTTTTTCTAGCTGACCCGACACGTTCTTTCTCAGGTGTCGAAGGGCGTTGTCTCGGTGCACTCTGAGACCGGATTCTAGCCTTTGCTGATTCCGTAATCGCCATGTAATTCGGCAATGCAGCATTCGTAGTAGTAGTAGCGGTGGTTGTAGTGGTACAAACGCTATAACCACTTCTTGCGGTGAAACTATAGTTTGATCTCAAACTAGGTGTGTTTGATGTGTAGTTGTAATCTCGTTGGATCCGCGGACTAGCGGATCTGATTTGTATCGGTCTTGATTTAGCGGGAGATGGTGTAGCTGATGAGAAGTTGTGTTGTTGGTAATGATGGCTTGTTCTTGATGGTGAACTAGGCCTTTGGTTACGGCTTGGACTTGCACCCGTTCTTGAGTTACCGCGTGTTAAATACGGTTGAGAAGTATCGATTTCCACGGTCTTGTAAACTGGTGCTCTTTGGTCCGTTGAAGCTCGTTTATCCCATGGTTTCGATGCCATCCATCGGTCTAACCATTTCGGTCTCTCTTCTTCTTCCTCGTCTCCCGTAGAGTAACTACCTCTCGTCCTCCGAACCTTTCATCAAAATCATAAAGAAATTAAACACCGAACGAAGCAAAATCAAACGAACACTTGCTATGTTTTATTTTACCTGGTGAGAGAAAGCTTGTGATAAGCTATTGTTACTCTCTCGTCTCAGCGCAGTGTCTCGTCTTTGTTGCAGCATTGCTTTCACTTCCTCAATCGTGTGTGGTCGATCATCCCAATCTTCAGCAATGCTACTTCCTTCTCTTGACTACACAAAAATCATTAGAAAAATGTTAGCTTTATAAACCTGACTGCTGAAACAGAGCAACTATGCTGTCCGAAACAGAGTAACTATGGTCTCTGAAACAGAGTAATATTGGTGTCTGAAATCTATATATATATAGATCACTTACCATGGATCTTCTGTCTGAAATGTCCTGAAGATAACGAGATTCGAGGACACTGTGCGTGTCGCTGAAGGCAGATTTGCGACTACCGTCGTGAGACAAGCGTTTACGTTGGTCAAGCACGCGAGACTGAACTCGAACCAGAGCTTGCATACACCTTAAAGTCATCTTTGCTTGCTTCCTCACATTGTGTCCTCTCACTAGTGCTTGTAACTTCACAAGCCCTTTCAACGCTCTTAATGCTCTTCTTGCCTAAATTCAAATCCCGTTTACTATTAATTATTACTCAGATAACGTTATAATTAGACATAATTAATTGTAATTAGATCAAAATTTGCTCACCAGATAACCTCTGAAACCAGTTTGGATCACGACAGCTGCGTAATCTTCTCTTGCAGTATAAGTGCGTCTTATAAGATTTGGTAACTCATTCGTCTTCGTCGGAGGATGAGCTTCCGATACGGCGGAGGAGACAGTGGCGGGCGGTGTAGCTAAGACGCCGTGACTCTGTTCTGTAACAGGAGATAAAGCGGTTGTTTTGACCGTCGCCGTTTCTGTGGATTTCTGAGCCGGGACGTCTTTTCCGACGCCGGAGGTCTTCGTCGGAGAGTCGTGGTTCGTCGGTTTTCTAAATAACCACCGTCTCTTCTCCTTCTTCTGCAGACAAAGTGCATGTGAATTTAAAACAACCATAAAAATGAAGAAACAGAGCATGTGAATAATAAGACAAGTAACAAGATCTTGACATCACAGAAGAAAACGAACCTTATCTTCATCTTCCTCAGCTTCATTAACGTGAGCATTATTGTTGTTATGTTCTTTCTTGGTCGGAGATCGGAAAGCTCGTTTAACGGCGGTGAGCCAGGAGGAAGAAGAAGAGCCACTCTTCTTACCCATTGGAGATTTATTTGGTCGGATCTTCTAAAAAGATTCTCACAGAGTCAACACATTTGTAGTAGTCTCATGCTCCTGTTTCGGGACATTATTAGAGGATGAGATTTGGCTTAGATTCTTGCGCGGAAGAAGAAGAAGAAGAGAGAGAGAGAAGAGAGTGGTGGGTGGATCTTGGGAAACAGAAATGTCAATAAATTTGGAAGGTTGCTTGAGAGAGAGTTCTGACTCTGACCACCTCTTTAACTGCGACCATGACAGCGATGACTCTTCCTCTTCATTTACTCTCTCTCCCACTTCATTTTTTTTTGTTTTCTTTTTGGGGTCATTTCGCCAAACAAGTAATATCACATTATGATTATCATATCGTGGACCTGCTTGCATTTGTTGTACATTCAATTCTTTAAATTTTCTTGCCTTTTTTGGTGTAATTGAAAGATAAGAGTTTTGTTGTTTTGAGAGTTACTTTTTTAAAACCATATAAAATTAATTATGTCATTATGCGAAACTATATTTTTATGTGGTTAAATTATTATGAAAAACAATTCTATGTAACACATTTAGATAGATTAAATCAAATTCTGATCAAAACGATCAGACAAGTTTCGAATGGGTTCGATTTCGATTAGGATTGAAACAATGCGTTATGTTATGATATACAATATTCACAAACTTCTAATTTAAGCCAGTTGACAATTAAACTACTTGTGAGTGTTTCTTATCTATCACTCAAAGTATTTTCTCACTTCATAATAATAAGTTGTTTCTCCCATTAACATCAAACTATAACTACTAGTTTAGTATTTTTTTTTTCTTCTAAATATCATATAAATGTACAAAAAATACAAACGCAATAGTTGATAAAAGATATATCTAACTGGTTCTTGAGTGTACATTCATATTGTAGCTAAAAAGCTAAAAAAAAAAAAAAAAAGCTATTGCTGTTTCAACAATCATTTGATTTTAGACAAACACGTTACTGCCACGAGCTTCTAACAAATTCTGTAGAATATATAGACGACCATACATTTGTAGATGGAGGACCTATGCATACGCTGATACGCAGAACCTTATCCCTATACGTTCGCATGCTCATTGATATCTATAAACCTACAAATATATAAACATTTTAATGTACGTATGACGACTGTAATGTGATTCATGTTCCTAAGTTTTAAGATAAAGATAAACGAATCATCGAATACGTAAATCATTAACATTTTCTTTTAAAAAAAGGAAAAAAAAAAAAGAATTATCATATAATCATACATGTTTATAAACTAACTATTTCAAGTAGAAAATGACAGCTTTCAAGATGTGCTTATTGGCCAAATCTTAGAAGAAAAAAAAGAACGAAAAATATTAAAACGAACTGGTGAAGTCTCGTGCTATCACGTGCATGGAGCCAGATACAAGGACAGAGACATCATCAGGTGCGCGATGGACCACGGTGGTGTCTTATTCCCTACAACAAGACACGTGGCGTTTAACATATTTTAGTGGTCAAACATCTATCTGGTCAAACCATTCTCTTCATTATGGGCTTACTTACATCAAAAGCCCACTTTGTTTTTATTTATCAAAGGCTCTTAAAATCAATTTTGGTCTCAGTTTAACTTGGTAGACGTCTTCACGGTTAGATAGTTACGATGAACACTTCCGATACATCCAGAAGGTTTCGTTTTCCTTATTACTCGTGCCGGCGGAGAATGATCGGAGTCGAGTTCTGATGAACAAAACGGCTAGATTAATCTCGCTACTTTGAAGTCATAGAGACGACGACTCCTGAACTTCATAACCATGAAGCAGTGTAACATGGAACTCGATCTCGATTCGTTCCTCGTATCGGACTCAGACTCCGATTCCGATTTGGATTCTTCAGCCATTCCTCACCGTACAGTCGACGAGATTCTCAACGCATCCAGTTCTTCATCTCCGTCATCTTCTCCTCCTTCTTCACCACCGTTAAGTAATCGGCTGAAGCAAAACGTTCCGACTTGCCGCCTATCAGAAACCCTTGCGGTGGTGAGACCTGACTCAGTTGAATCTAATTTAAATCGCGGATTTCCTCCGACGAGGCGAAATTCAGCATCGAATTCTTCTTCTTCTTCTTTGAGGCAGTTGCCTTTGCCGTCGCTATTCGCAGGAGTGCGGTCGAATGTGAAGCCCGGAGCGGCGCTTGCGGCGGCTGTGGCTGCTTCCAGGTTGGTTCCGACCCCACACGCTGCTATTATCAAGTCAAGGAGAGCTAACAGTGCAAGTAGTGAGTTGCTGCAGCAGGTTTCAAATCAAGATGATGAAGATCAGGAAGTTTCTTCTTCGAATGGAGATTCTGTTGGAGTTGTTGCTGGATCTGTTTCTGTTGATGATTTTCGTTCTTTTGGTGGAGAATCTCGGATGGAGGATGAGGATAATGGAGTTGCGGTTGTTGCAAGTCAAGAAAAGGAAGCTAAAGTAATGGAAGTCCAAGCTAGTGATATTACTGAGAGCTTAGTTGATGCCCGTGACAATGAGGCAAACTCAAAGCCTGACTTAGTCACTGCCTCCTCTGGTTTTGACGATGAAGGAATTGTATCAGCAGGGCAAGAGGCGACGACCACGACAGTATCCGAAAATGCTGCTGTTGATGAGGTCAAAGATGGCACAATGTTAGTCGCTTCTTTGGCAGAGTCTTTAGAGTCTCAGCATTTGAATGATTCTGATGGGAAGTGCTATGATACTAAGGTAAGCAATGATGAGAACTCAAGTGTTGGAGATGTTAAGAGTGATAAATCAGATATAATTATACCGGATTCTAAAGAAGAGGGAAGCGATGCTGTTATTCCTGATGATGGAAGCTCAATTTCTAACATTTCTGAGCTTGTAGAAGAGAGGATTGTTGAGTTGGAAAAAGAAAGGATGAGTAAAAGAGAGATATTAAAATCACAGTCTTTTAGAAAGCAGCTTGTCTTGGCTGAAGAGTTTGAGAAGAAACAAGCATATACTGGTTTGCATTGGGAGGAAGGGGCTGCTGCTCAGCCAATGAGACTTGAGGGTGTTAAGGTCGGTTCAACGAATTTAGGTTACTTTGATGTTGATGCCGACAATACCATAAGCCGGACCATTTCATCGCCAGCATTTAAGCGAGACCATGGTTCTCCTCAGGTTTTGGCTGTTCATTTAAATTTTATTGCTGTGGGTACATCCAAGGGGGTCATCGTCGTTGTACCAAGTAAATATTCTTCAGATACTGCAGATAAAATGGAATCAAAGGTCTTTTACATCATTACTTATGTACATTTTTGTGTTATTTGTACAAGAGTAGATTTTAAATATGTACTCAGATTATTATTTATGTTTACAAAAATTTAGATGATCTGGCTTGGTTTACAAGGAGAAAGATCCCAGTCCCCAGTTACCTCTGTTTGCTTCAATCAGATAGGGAGCCTCCTGCTAGCAGGTTATGGTGATGGACATGTTACAGTTTGGGATGTGCAGAGAGCGTCAGCCGCAAAAGTGATTATTGAACATACTGCACCAGTAGTATATGCCTTTTTTCTAGGTCGGGATTCTCAGGGTTCTCGCCAATTTAAAGTTATTACAAGTGATACGAAGGGTGTTGTTTTCAAACACACTTTTTCTTGGGCTCTGCTGTTGAACATGTACACAGTAAAAACACAGGTAAATGAAGTTTTCTGTAAAGCCATATTTGCCTGTGATTTTGTCTGTTTCTACTGGTTTCTTGTTCAGCCTTACTAACTCTGAGGAATGGGTTTGTACACCTTGTTTTGATTGCATCAGTGTCTTCTTGATGGACAAAAAAATGGAACGGTCCTCTCCGCATCACCTTTGCCTGATGAAAATTTTGGAAGCTCCTTGGCCTCTTCTAAAGGGGGTAACTCTGCAGTTCCATCTAGCAGTATAAGTAGCATGATGGGAGGTGTTGTTGGGGTTGATTCGACTTGGAAGCTCTTTAATGAGGATTCAACTTCGGTGGAAGAAGGTGTTGTTATATTTGCCACCTATCAAACTGGACTAGTGGTAAATATTCCAGATACTTTTCATACTCAATTTAATGGTTACCCTTCTGGAAATCATCCTCTTCTGTTTTCGTCAGGTAAAGCTCATTCCAAATTTGGAGGTGTATGCACAACTTCCTAGGCCCGAAGGGGTTCGGGAGGGTTCCATGCCATACACTGCCTGGAAATGCTCAACGGGTAATTCTTCTCTCGCTATAACTGTGTACTTACGTGTACTATTTTACTTAGATACAATTTTGCAGCAAATTCTTCCAAGGAGGCAGAAGACAGGGTTTCTTTCCTTGTCATTGCCTGGGATCGTAGAGTTCAGGTCGCCAAGTTGGTAAAATCAGACCTTAAGGAATATGCCAAATGGTCACTTGACAGTCCAGCTATTGGTGTTGTTTGGCTTGATGACCAGGTGTGTATACTGATATCATTATTTTTCTAAGCAAATGCATGTTCATGATTTTGCTGCTTTTCTCTGTATATTCAGTTGCTGGTGATCCCAACCGTGTCGGGCCATTTGTATCTGTTCACAAGAGATGGTGTGGTAATTCACCAGACAAACTTTTCTGTGGCTAGTTCTTCAGGGAATGACCTTATTTCCTATCATACGTACTTTACGAATGTCTTTGGAAATCCTGAGAAGGCTTATCAAAACTCTGTGGGTGTCAGAGGGGCCTCAGTATACATTCTCGGGACTGCACATCTTGTTATCTCCAGACTTCTGCCATGGAAGGAGCGGGTTGATGTGTTAAGGAGAGGAGGTGACTGGATGGGTGCATTTAACATGGCAATGTCACTTTTTAATGGTCAAGCTCATGGGGTTGTTGACCTCCCCAAAACTGTGGATGCCATAAGGGAAGCCATAGCACCGAGTTTAGCAGAGTTGCTTCTTTCCTACGTAGATGAAGTGTTTTCTTATATCTCAATAGCATTTTCCAATCAGACTGAAAAAAATGGAGTAACCCATGAGCGAAGCAGTGGAACCAATAATGTCAATTTAGAGATAGAAGAACAATACAATCGTGTCGGTGGTGTTGCTGTTGAATTCTGTGCTCATATTAACAGAATGGATTTGCTCTTTGATGAGATATTTTCCAGATTTGTGGCTGTACAACAAAGAGGTATATATTTCACATCTATAGACTATATGTATATCCATCAACTTCCTTTTTTGGTGCTACGTTTTATTAAGGAACAGGATTTAGTATCATTCCAACTATAGGATTGTTCGAAGGATGTAACTAGGATTGTGACTAGTTCCCCGTAGGGTTGTCTGATTCTG